CTCTGAATCGTTTTCTCTAGACTCTCACTACATTAAATGTTGCTAGAAATCAAATTGAACATGAAAGAATACGACATTTGACCAATACATTACGAAACAATGCAATAATTTATATCTTTTACAATATTTCTCATATTCTTTGTTTTTTTATTTTCTCTACTAGACTTTTCCGACGTTAAGTATCGGTGGAAATCAAATTGGAGACGAGAGAATGCGGCACATAGGTGATCTATTACATAACAATACAGTACACTTCATTCTCTCTTGAGAGATGATGGATTACAATATTTGTATAATATATTACAAACAAACGTCGTAACTTTATTGTTTTTCTCATCTCTTCTGATATCTACTTGATTACAATTTAATCTTGTAGAATTTACACATACTTGATCTCAGTAGTAATCAACTCAAAGTGTCAAACGCACAATATTTAGCTAATTTTCTTGAAAATAATACGGTGATTATCTTTACTCCCTATATATATGTACTAATTATATCTATTTTAATATTTTTCATATAGACATTGATGACAATTAATTTGAGAGACAACGAATTGAGACGCAAAGGCATTTAATACATAGCTCACGCACTGAAAAAAATAAAGTTAGTTTTTTATATAGATTTTTTCTAATATGTTTGTCTTCGTTTCAATTATATTGTTGACGAAGAAGCAGACCATTTAGCTGATACTTTGATAACTAACAAGGTGATTTTTCCTTCTCATTTTCCTCAAAAGAATCTTTTCTCGTAGACTCTAGCTAATGCATTAGAAAAAAACACAGTATTTCACTTTTTCCTTATTTTTCGTAATTTCTCGTCATGTTTATTTTACTTCATATAGGCACTTACTACACTAAATCTTGAACTAAATCGAATTGGAACTGATGGAACAACATATTTGGCTCTTCGTTTTTTTCCAGACACTTACTACTTTGCATATTGGATATAATCATATTGCTGACAATGGAGAACAGAACTTAATCGATGCAATACAAATTCATGAAGTAATTTTCTTTTCACTTCATGATTTTCATTTTATGACTTTTTTTCTCTTTTGCAGACATTAACAACGCTTAATCCTAAAGCTACTCATTTACTCACCAGTTAATACTATCTATTAATAAAGTATTCATGTAATGGAAAAAAATAAACTCGAAGAAATTTTGCTACCGAAAAATATCATTTTTGTTGCATTCTGGTGGGTGTGGGTGATGAATATGAGCTTTCTATTCACCCCACGCTCTATATGATAAAAGTTTAGTAATTAAACAAGAAATTTGAATCTATTTTTCTTGATTTGTAACTTCTCGATGGCTATAAGTTTATGTTATTTCGATTGTACATAATGAGGTATACATCCATATGAATATTGTCATTAACTATCGTGACCTGCTTGATAAAATTACTTATTGAATGAGTATATGAAATTTCATATTATTTTGCTTGCAAGTGATGGTATATTTCTTTCTCTGTACACAATATTATAACTATCTATAAGAGAACATATGCGAAGTTTGGTTTCTCCTTTTGATTATTTTTTTGGTTACGAGAAGAAAGTAATACTCTATTTATGAGTTATCAGAGATTTTACAATAACAATAATAATAATAATTGAATGCTGTATGAACATCTCAGTTTTTGTGGGTTAAGTTATAAAAGCTAATTAAACCAAAATTCAAATCTTATCGGCGTTATTCTAAAGACAGAAAAACAACCGAGTTATTATCGTTCTTCGATCTCAAATAGACGAATCGAGAAACATGATTTATATGAAATATTCATTAATGTTTTCCAAATATAAATTTAAAATTTATTAACCATTTTGGACATTTATCTCACAAAAAAAACAAATCGATAGATAATAAATAGATATTTTTCTATGTTGCTCATTCTGTTTTTCAATACTATCAGAATATTCAATAATAATGCTCTAAAAAAATACAGAAACTTTGACAGAAGTATTCTATGAGCCTCGAGTACATACCAAAGTAGGTAGAGGTCCTGTAGAATAACAGTAAAAATTTAAAAGGTTTCCTTCAATGGAAATGAACTCAAAAAGCTTGTGTATGGTAGTAGGTAAACTCTGAATGATCTTTCTGGATGACATCAAACAATAAAATGTTTCGTGTGACAGGAGTAAAATCCTGAGACGTTCTTTCCAGTAGTACTTACATAAGAGGTCCTACAGGATGATATTGAGTCAGAAATTTTTTTCTTTAATAATACTGAAGGTTAAAATGTATAGCATTAATTAGTGTTGACATATAAAAATCCTATTCGATAGAGTTGACTATCAAATGATTCTATGTTTAATACTTCTAAGTCAAGTATGACTGTTTCAGTTTTAAAGAATTTCTTAAGACTTTGAAGCATAAGGGCTGAATCATGAAGAACTTATTTAAAGGGAAAATGTTCTGTGCAGTAACTGTCTTGTACATACTAAAATCTTTTTTTTTAATGGTTTTGTATATGTTCGTATTGACTATCATATTTGGTTATGTTATTACTTTGCTTTACTGTACAGTATTGTCCTAATACTAGATTTGAGTAGCTTGAGGTGTGAGTGTTGATGTTTGTTTGTTTTGTCCACTACCACATTCAGACCTTCAATTGTATATATTTGAGAAAAGAACAAAAAAAACTAACTCACAAAAAAACAGAACGCGGACATACATCTTCCGTATCAAAAGCAGAACAAACGAAAAAGAAAAAGAAAGAGCAAAATAAAAGAAACGAAATAAAGAAAAAGCAGCGAGAATAATGTGATCGCGAACAGTATATTTGTCATTTCAGTCTGTATCATTTAGTTAATATAGTATTAGTGTCATTGTTTATATTTTCATAGTATGTTAAGCTTGTTCAATAAATGTTCAAGTCAATCATGAATTACTTTCTTTAACAACCAGAATAATACCAACCACTATAATAACAACCACCGCCACCATAATAAGTAGAAGGACCTTGACCAGCACACCCAGGACAAAAAAAAACTACCATCTCCAGCAGTATTACAGCTACAGGCAACATTATTGTAAACACAAGGAGTAGGACCAAATGTGCAACAATAATATTTCGTACAAGTAGAATTAAATATAAACGTAGTAGTTGTTGTTGTCGTGGTAGTTGTTGATGTTGTTGTAGTTTTTGTTGTAGTTGATGTTGTTGAGGTAGTTGTA